TAGTTTCATGAGTTCTGTTTGTTTTAGCCTGAGATGACCTGGCCTTATTAGTTCCTTCTACACCCTCCAGTTTTGGTGGGGTCCCAAGGGCCTCCTTAGTGGTATTGCAAAAGGAAATCCCCATAAACCACATGAATCCCTAAAAAAAGCTGATGGCACAACTGAGCATCTCTGTTCGGGCAGGCAGCGTCCTCCCCTTGCGCAGCGCTGCCACGGGTGTCGATCACAGCCCTGCAGAGACAGAGGACAGCACAGCAGCCTGTAGGTTCTGCTTGCTCTCCAAGACTGAAAGGCCACCCTCACCCAGAGCACTTTTTCTGTATTTCCTCAATTTTAAGATACCTCTTTGCTGTGATTTGCAACATCATCACTGTGGTGCTTCTGTAATTTACAGATAAAGGATGACAGAAATGTGGTTTGGAGGACTGGGTACGATATAGGGTTGTGTTCACTAAGGCTGGCATGATACCTGCCTTTCTGCTCAATTTGTAGGGCTAACTGGTTTCTGAATTATCACTAATTTATTTTGAGGAGCATCAGCAATGGATTGATAAATAAATGCGTTTCTGTCGTTTTATAAATACCTCTACCTTTTCTCCAGAATACAATAATTCCTTATCTTACTGCTTATACACAGCAATTTAGATTACTCCTAATTACTAACTAATTTTATGGTTAATGTCACCTCCTTCCTCCTCTCCCTAGATGCAGACATGTATATTCTTACATACATACGCATACCTCATCAAAATTATTTCAGCATAAGCATGAATACCACGAACCAAAAGTTTGGCATCCCTGCTACAGTGAAAGATGACTGCCACCTATGGGTAAGAGCTCATGTTAACATATTTTGGTAAAATTTTAATATTATTCTTTTTAGTTAATTCAGATTGTAATTATCTATCAGGACAGAGTTCTGATTAATTTGCTTATATTTTGTCAACAAAAATCACTGAAAATCATCCTCTGAAAGTTAGGTATTAAACCAACTCCCATATGAAGGAGCATCAGCTTTATGATGAATAAAAAAATAGGGTATGACGTTCTTATTTTTCTTATTATGAATAAAGACTACATTGAAGTGCTCTAATTCCCTATGCAAAGAAAAACGACTTATTGCTATGCAGGTAGGTACAACATGTTAGATAAAGCTGTATTTAATGATGACCATAAAGTTAGCCATCTCAAGGTTTTAATATTTTGCTTGCTGTTTCTTTTACTAAATACATACAACTAGCTTAGCTGTGCAGTTCCATGAGAATGTATGTATAATCAGCATGTCATAGTAATTTTCTTTTCAAAATTTTTCATTTTTCATAGTAAAATGAAAGCTAAGTGGGGGAAGGGAGGCAGTAGAAAAATATATGTCCCGATTACGTAAGCCTCAATTTTTCTGATAATCAATCTGCACAGCATTTACCTAGAAAATTCAAAAGAAAGTACAGACTGGAAAGAAAAATTTATCATATCAAAAATACTTTTTTCTGATTCAGTTTTCAGGTGCATAAAAGCAAACAGCCTGATAATTCTGTATATCCGACTACCAAAGAGAAAAGTGCTCGATTACGGCTGCTATACTGTGGTAAGCTGCATTAAAATGGACATTACAATCTCTTTCTCAGAAATACCACACATAAAAATTGCTGGAAGTCTAGCAAATTAATACACATATTTCAGTTTGGGAAAAAATCTTTTTGCTCCAGTAAACAGAAACTAATTGTAGTCATAATATTTCTCCCTTTCGGGGCTGGGACATAGTATTTCTGAAGGAAGAGAGACAAACTTAACAAAAGAGAAAACTATATTAAAAGAGAGAGCAACAAATACAAACAAAGAATAAGTCCAATACTGATTTTTTTTTAAATCTCCCTTTTAAAGTAATCTTAGTCCCGGGCCTTCTCATTTGTATTGTACTTTGCTAAATATGATAATTGGCCTACCTACAAAACCCCACATCAGTATTACACTAGTGCTTATCTCCTCCATTTTCACAACATAAAATTAATACTGTAATAAATTAATACTATATTATAAACATGCCAAATATTGTAAAAGTGGTTAGTAAATGTTGCTCAGATATCTGAGGTTCACACATCACCATTTCATGCTTGCTTTCTAACGGCATTGGTACCCTTTATAATCTACATAACTCAGACGCCTGCGGTAAAATCTTTGTGCTTCATAGAAAAAAAAAACATCTTCTAGGTAAAGTCACTGCTCCACAGTACTATATTAATGATGTATTTTCCTGACGTATTTTAGGCCAAAAATAGCATTCTTCAATTTACTTCCTTGTGTCCACTTTGGCTACCAAATCAAACTGTCACCGGTCCAGTAACATTTCCCTGTATTTTCAAACCATGTTTAAACTTAAACCACTCAGTCTCCTTTGATGGGAACTTCATATCAGACAGAAATTACTCCTTAGCACATTTGATGAATCCAGCTTAAAATAAAACACCAGAACTGCATGAACGTCTGTGACAAATTACTTGCCTCAGTCATCTTGCTCTTTTTTATTTAATCTCCCACTGGAGTACACTATTTCATAGGTACACTATTTTTTAGTGCAGACCTCCTCCCACCAACCTACTGCTTGCAAAAGGAATTAAAAAAAATATTTTCCATGTGTTATACCAAAATCTGAACAGATTATACTTTAACCTTCCAAAATAACTAGAAGTAGGAAAATGGAAATAAACAAATAAGCTAGTAACTCAAATTTACAAAAGCAACAAAAAGGTAAAGAAATGTAGAAATGCAATAAAGCATTGTTAAATTAAAAGATCTGCTAATGGAATATGAAACAAACTCTCCTTTCCTGGTGACACGTTGCTGAGTTACTACCTGCATATCCTACTAGTAAAAAGGAAGAGAAAATATTTTTTAGTCAGTATGACAAATTTTGAGATATTCCTGTTTCAGTCTCTTTAAAACCAAGGCCATCTTAAAAGACAGGGTATTCAACAAGATCTACATTATATTGGAAAACCCAGAAAGGTTTTTCCTGATTTTTTGCCGCCAGTGATCTCTGTGTTTTACAGAGGGGAAAAAAAAATATCCACAAATAAGGCGGCATTCTTAATTCTCTGAAGTGCTTGCTGTTAATTTTATACCCTTACAGAATGACCAGTAAAATTCACCTTTCCAAGTAAGGAAATACAGAACATTGTATCATAGCTTTTAAAAATGATACTTTCAGTTCTATAGAGATGTCTCATCAATTTCACTTGAATGCTGCTTATACTATATAACACAGATTTTACTTTAAATAATAGTACTTAATGCCCATATGGATTTTTTGTTACCTAATAGCTTTGCTAGATTGGTCATGGATTTTTTTACTGTGCTATGTCTTTTTTCAGTACTTAGTTATATGCCTGCATTCTCCAACAGACATTCAAAATACTACTGCATTCTGGTCTATGTCACTGTTTTGACACTGAAGTGCATTCAGATACTCATAATGTCCTTATAGAGGCAAGTAAACAAATAAACAAAAAAAACAAACAACAGGTTACCTTCTGATGTTCTGGAATGAATGGGATTTATTCTAATGGGAGAAAACCTGTTTGTTCATAATAACTTAGTTTGTAGCTGAGAAAGAGAACAACACCCCTGGAATCACTTCACTGAAAATTCCAGAAATGCAAGGAGTTTTACAAAAAGTCTGCAGTTACCTTGTATTGAAAGTAACCATGCAGAGCTGACAGTAGCAAGGACTTGCATAACAAGGACTTGGAGGAAGGCTTAGTACTATCCATGCCGGAGTGATTTAAAGAGAATGAAGGCACGTATTTCTTTATGATGCATTATGTAACAACAGAGAGGGTAATGTGAGGCATTCAAAAAACTGCAGGACCCACACTTGATCTCATTCTTGTTATTTATCAGACAAATATTTAATAGTTCTTCTAGAAGAAGGCTTATGAAACACCAAGCATAGGAATGTTATCCGGTATAAATTAGTATGAAATGTTTTAGGTGACGTAGTCTATGTTTTGTACATCTTTAGGAAAATGTAATAGGCCCTATAATTCATCTGCTTCAAACTTCTGCAATACATGCAATCTCAGATAAAAATGTCAAAATCAGTGATAGCTGGACCTTCTGGTTCACATTAGTGAAGAAAAAACTGCTGTTGAGCTGACACATTGATAGATTACGAGTTCTGCTGGAGAATAGCTAAAAATGGTGATTCAATCTTGTCGCTACTATGTAAGAAGAATAACAGAAGTGGTGATGATACTCATGATATCATGTCTTTCATCAAACTCCTAAAGGGTATTGGTGCATTGAACATATTCTCTTCCTGAGAGCTTCTGGTTCCAAAAAAATACCTGTGTAAGTAAATGAAACTAAATAAGCCTATTAAAAACCAGGATCACTTTGTGCCCTAAATTTATTTAAACATTAATATAAATAGCAGATTGTAAAAAGACTTTTTTTTCTTGCGGGGTGGGGGGGGGTCCTCTCTCTTTCTCTCTCACCGTTTTTTTTTTTTTTTTACAGTAGAGATGCTGGTCTTGTAATGACAAAATGGAGAGCTAGGAGGATTATGAAACACAAGTAACATGAAGGGCAAATCTGACTGAAAGAGAGGGAGAATATTATTCCAACTATTTAAAACTTCACTGTGTTTCTTTACTAACTTAAATCAATACAGGTCCCCTGAAATCTATATGGTGATACCGATGCATCCAAGATGCATGCAAGATAATGCGAATCATCATCTTCTGTTAGGACAGTAAATAAAAACACTTGTATAATCATCTTTTCTGAACAGCTCCCAAATCTTTAGTTATGCAAAACAGAACTTTTAAATCAGGCACCTTAAGTGCTTCTGCTATTCTACCCATGGTCCTCTGTTACGTGAAACTTATGTGGTCGTTAATGCTGAAGTGAAGTCAGGTTTAAACACTGACTTCTGTTCCTCGGTGCTTCATACTTCCCTGTGCTGCTGCAAATCACCATGGAAAGCTCAAGATGGAGGGAACAGGGCCTGGGTGGCTTTTGCCTTCCTCCCACAAAGATCACAAAATGCTCCTGGCGCTTGCTTCCGACACATCCAAGGAGTTCTGCAACATCAGAAGGGGAAACAGGGCTTCACAGTCCTCATCTTTCACTGACAGGAAAAACAGGTAAGGAGAAGGAGGAAACAGAAACATGGGGGAGGATGGGGGTAACGATTTCAATTTAGAGGCTCCCCTTTTCTAAAGGGAAAGAAACCTTGACACAAACTTCATCACATCAAAAAGACGTAGACAGGTAGGCACCTCAGATTTCTGATAACTCGGTAGGTTTGTTTCAGGGAAACATTAAGCATTCATTTGATTTTTAGTTTTACATTTACTGGGGCATCTACAGCAAGAATTTGCAGCTTCTCCTGCAATAATTAATGTTTCATGTTGCATAGGAATTTCTGATTACATAAAATAAACCCTCTCCAACAAAACTGTGACTTAAGCTGTGTTCTTAATTTGATGATGAATGGAGAAGAAAAGCAGCAAGGCAGAAAGTTTATCACCCTACACTAAAATATTGGGAGAACCAGAAACTGAAATCAAATAAAAAAAAGCAAAAATGTCTCAGCCTTGTTCCATATTTTTCCTGCAATTCTTACACATGCATTTCCCTTTTGAGTATGCAGGCCGACATCTTTAGGATATTCAGGCAACGAATTAACACACTGTAGATACGGGAAAGAATTAAGTCAGAAATATTTGTGGAGCGTGAAGCAGTAAACAGTAACCAAGAAGAAATGTTTTACGTAATGCTATCATGGCTTGACAGCAAAGTAGATTTATACCGTGTTCTTTCAAGCTAGTAAGCTTGGTAACAAGTGAAATGGGTTAAATTTTCTGAGTTTGGAATGCAACTGATTTATGTTTGTTCCACAGTGCTACGCAGCTCTTAAATGTACGAGCTCCTGCGGATGAAAGTCTGCTTTTAGGACAGGCCCCGCAGTGACAGGCTGCGGCACGGCAGGGAGAAGCCCAGGTAATTCTGGCGGGGCAGCGGCTGGCGATGCAGGACGCAGCAGGTACCCAGCCATCCAGCCAGCCCGCTTTACGTAAGGACTTCATTTTCGTTCGGCTACATCTCGCCGCCGCGCGAGGCACGGGAGAGGAGGCTATTCCATCTCCCCGTGCAGCCCCATCCCCTGTGCCAGGCCCAATGACCGCATCCTCGCACGTTTTAATTTTTTAATTTTTTTTTTTTTTTTTCTCCTCTCCAAACAGCACATCTACACAGTGGCGTTTACCTATTCGCTCGCGCCGTGGCTGCCACGCAACCTATCTGGGCGGCCGGCTGGCACAGCCCGCGGTCACCGGAGCGATGCCGAAGAGGAAACTCCCGGTCCCCCTCCGGGCGAGGGGCGCGCTGCCGGCCGGCTCCGGGCGGGCCGCTCTCCCTCCTCGGCGGCGGGTGTGCTCCGCTCCGCGGCCAGCGGCGGCCAGCGTCCATTGCAGTCGGCGGCTCCGCGTCCGGAGTCCAGGGGCTCCGGCAGCCAGCGGGGGCACCCGGCCCCCGCTCCCCTAAACACCGCTGGCCAGGTGCGTTTATTTCTCAGCCCGTCCTCTTCCCACAAATCCACCGTCTGCGGCCGCCGGGCCCCAGCAGCAGCCCGGCCAGCCCCCGAGTCAGCACCGATCGCTCTCCCCTCTCGCTCTCTCTTTCCCTCTCGTTTCAAGCTCTCCCCGAGGAGGAAAGAGCACGGCGGGGCCGCTCGTCCTGCATTTCACCGCGCGGGAGACGCCGCCGCCGCCGGAGCGCTTAAAACAAAGCGGAGAACAGTCACTTTCCACACTGCTCCCTTCCTCCCCGCGCCGAGTAACGCGGCTGGAGAGGGGAGCTCGCCTAGCAGGGATGAAAACCAAGGGGGGGGCGAAGGCAGGAGAACCCACCCACCCAGCCCGGAGCCCCCCGGCTGCTCCCCGTTCCCGGCGCATCCCGGCGCACCTGACAGCCCGCCGCGCGCGCTGTATTTCCCTCCCTTAGCGACAGGGGAGGCGCGCGCCGGCCGCGGCCCCGCCATTGGCGGAGCGCGGCGGCGCGGCGCGGCCATTGGCTGCGGCGGCGGCCAATGGGGCGCGCTGTATCCGGGAGGCAGCGGCTGCGGAGCTATTTAAATCCTGCCCGGTGATGTCAGCGCGGGCGGCGCGGGGGGAGCGCCGGGCAGGGCCGCGGGAGCGCCGGCGGCCGCCGCCCCGCCTGTCAGGCCGCGTTAGGAGCGGCGCGGCCGCCGCCCCCTCCGCGGGCAGCGGAGCGGGAGGGGCCCGGCGCACCTGCGCGGCCGGCCCGCCTCACGGACCTGGCCGCGCTCCGCTCCCCGCCTTCACGTCCCCGCTGACTTGCCGCGGTGTCGCTCCTGGAGGGCGCGGGTTAATCCGGGGGGGCTGGGTGCGATCGCTGGTTGCGCGAGTGTCGCGCTAAGCCCTCGCTCGCAGAGAAAGCAGAATGGCAACTCCGCGCTGAGTACACTTCTGCCAGCTGTTCTGCGCGGAGGTGCCCTCGCTGTGCTTCATTTGTGCCTAGTGCCTCTGTGACACTGAGCCCCCCAACTCAGAAAGGACATTGAGGGTCTGAGTCCAGAGAAGGGCAATGCAGCTGGTGAAGGGTCTGCAACATCAGTCCTGTGAGGAGCAGCTGAGGGAGCTGGGGGTGCTTAGCCTGGAGAAAAGGAGGCTCAGGGAGGGCTTATTGCTCTCTAGAGCCACCTGAAATAAGGATGTAGGCAGGTGGGGTCGGTCTCTTCTCCCAGGCAACCACTGGCAAGATAAGGCGCAGCCTCAAGCTGTGCCAGGGGAGGTTTAGACAACACGAAGAATTTCTTCACAGAAATGTTGATTAGACATTGGAATAGACTGCTAAGGGACAGGGTGGAATCACTGCCCCTGGAATTGTGATGGAAACTTCCCCATGCTGTGACCAAAATGCAGGCATCTTACTTTACACAAAGGTGTGTCACCCACGATGGGAACACACAGCTACAAGATTTTCTCAGTTTGCAGATGGTAGTGTGTTGTGACTATAGATTTTTGGCCCATTTAACTACAACCATTTTGGTTGCCCAAAAATGTGTGTTAAGCTATGTTGCTGCAGAAGGTCAGATGACATGTGGAAGTGGTTCCCTAGAAGCAATCCTGTGATATGATTGAGATAAATGCAGAGGAGGTCACTGAGCTGAATATTGTTGATGCCAAAAAAAGATTTATCACAAAGAAATTAGGACCAAAAGCCAGGAAGAAGGAGGCTGTTACTGAAAGCATGTTTGTTTCTTTGCTGTAGCAAGGTATGGCAACAGAGGTAGAGGATGACAGAAGAAGACTGATCATGGAGGTGGCTTCTGTGAGGTTAGGGATGGCATGTCATAACGTGGGGTCCTCAAGATTATATTCTTTTAAGGACATTCTTCCACTGAGAGTCAGATGGAAGAATGCAAGAGCCTCTTTCAGGAATTGACTCCACGTGCCTTTTCAGTCCCATTGGTATTTCCTTGTTTTCCCTATTTGGGAGGCTGCTTGGAATAAAGATTAACTCACTACACTGAGTGTGTTGTTTATGTATTGTATTTGTCCATTAATGCCACCATACTCCAGATTTTCTGTAAGTTACGAACAAGACTCAGGAATAATATTTTTTGTTGTTTTGACTGTACTCCCCCCCCCCCCCTTGAACCCCTCCCATCGTCCCCCCAGTTCCCAGCTCTATTATTTCCAGGGGAAGCATTACCTTCCTCTAAAATATCAAATCAGCATTGGCAAGAGATGAAAAGCTGGGCAGAGGTTTTCATGGTGGCCCTGCTCTTGACACATGCATCTTGCTCAAATGCTTAGAGCTAGTGATGAGATCTGATTTGAGAAGAAATTCTTCTTTAACGTGGCATGTTGCATTTGAGGTTAAAAAAAAAAAAAAAAAAAAAAACCCCCCCCAAAAAAAAAAAAAAATTAAAAAAAAAAACAAAAAAAAAAAAAAAAAAAAAAAAAGGGTAAGAGGGAAGCATTCACCCTACTCAGCAAGATGGAATGTGGTTAATTTTGTAAAAGAAACTTGGGTATTTTGGGGACAAGAACTTCTGGAGAGAGCCCTCACCCTGGAGCGGTATAAACCTTAAATCTGTTGGCAGAACAGTGGAGTGGAAGAGGTTAATATATGTAAATGGAAGACAAATGGATATTTCTGGACTTTACAGCTATGGCATAAACTTACAGGGGTGGGAAAGAATATGAAGAGTTCATCTCATCTATCCCATGATTTTACTACCATAAAGCATGATCCAATCTCTCCATCTCTTTCCTGGTAAATACCCAAATTATGCAAATACATTTAGGGATGAAACTTAATAACCTCCCCATGCATCTGTTTGAGTTCTCTGCTTTCCTTAGGTTAGGACAGTCTAGTTCTCTTTTTATGACCCTGAGAGACTGGAATCTCTGACTCTTCCCCATTTAGTTCCATGCATCTGCTTAAGAAAGGTGTGGAGAAAAAGACCAGTAGTTATGTCAACATTTCGTTATGGTTTTATTTTTTTTGTTCCTAAACAAGCATGGTGAATTAGCAAAATTAATGGCAGGTGAAATTTACAGCCCTGGGAAAGTAGCACACACTACAGGGGAAGATGGATGGATGGTGATGAAGTGATGATGTCAGCTCTAAAGAGAAAGGTAGGGACAGCTGAGTGCAGCGCCACTGAAAAAAGGAAAAGAAAAATCCCAACCTCCAAATTTTAGCATTTGTAAGGAAAGGGATGCTGAATTATGAGCAATAAAATGCTACTGTAAATGATACTCCCTGGACATTACAGTGTGTACCAGTACCTCAGCTTCAGAGTTTTGAAAGGTGTACAAAGATCACTGCTAGAGCTAGGTAAACAGAGACATGGAGAAACTAGAAAGGCATATGAGTAGCTGAAGTTCAGATGAGGCAGAACTCATCTGGAAATCCTTTCCCAGTCTAGACACTGCTTCTTCCTGGCCAATCTTTAGAAATCATTCCTGCTCCAGACTAGTGATACATAATACTGTCGTTTTTCCTGTTAAGAACACATTTTGCAGAAGGGTCTATAACATGATACAGGATTCAGCTGAATTCAGGCTACAAGATGGGGTCACTGCAGTCCTCTGCTTTAAAACATTGCCGATAAAAATCTTACTTTAAATTTTCTGGTCAGGACTAGTGAAGCTTTTTAATTTTTAAATGTGTTTTGTGTGGAAAATCCCTCTGTTAAATAATTAGCAAATGCTCTGAGCATTACTGCATATTTTATATTTCATCTGCCTGGAAGAAATGGACAGTTCTGTTGCTATAGATTAACCACCATTTATTTTGTAATGCTCTGCTGGAAGAGAGAGACTTCTTATTTTTTCTTATTTCTTTTGCATACAGTTACTCAAGAAATGGGGCTGGACAGATGAAGGGTTTAGCCATACCTTTTCTTCTATTCCCAGCCCCAGTGGACATTTGAGTTTACAAAAAAAAAAAAAAAATCTGCATAAACTGCAAATGTGAAAACCAGAGACTGAGTGGTTCAGCAGTACAAAGGATTCAAGTGCTTGATCTTATTCTCTTGGCAGGCATTGGCTAGGATGGCTTGTTTATTTTACCTTTTACATAGCCTTATTCCACATTTTAGTGTAAATTTTCCTCAGGCAGAAAAAAATCATTGTGGTTGCATGAATTAGTCTTAGGTACCAATAGACACTAATTATGTTTAAAAGGAAGAATTCCACATAAAAAGCTGTTCAGATTTAACCCTTTTTTCTCTCAGAAGTGGTGTTACAAACTATTCTTTTAATGGAACAAAGAATAAGATCACCTTTCAAGTAATTTTGATCATCAGATCTGTGTTCCTGAGGCTCTTTGAATGGGAGGTTGTGTCAGAAGTGTGGCCCTGGCTCTGCTGTGGGCATTTCTGTACATCTCATTTCTGTTAGGCTACACCAGCAGGTCTTGGTGTGGCAGAGTCGTAACTGTCACATCTGTTTTCCTAGAAAGTTGTTTTATCCCATCTTCAAGACAAACTTTGAATTCTGACATAGTTTTATATCCTTAGCACTGCAATGGGCAGCACCATTCCTGAAGGAAAAAGTGCTTAAATTTTCATGTGTGTTGGACCCAACAGCCCTCCTGGCAGTCTGCAGGAGCCTTTAGTCTGCCAGGAGATGCAGGTGTGGGTTCCTCAGCCTGAAGGAATTGCTCTAGATTGCAGAACATAGACAAACATTGATT